TAAAAATACACCTCATAAATGTTTTAAAACACATGCTACGATAATTTTAAGGTAAAAATAATAATTTTGAACTGAAATAGAAAACAAACCAAAAGTAAGAAGGCAAAAAAGTAAAAATAATACTTACTGTAATAGAAAAGGCACACTCCACACCACGGGAGGAAAGGCTTGGTCATCGCTCGGCCCAAGGATAGACGAAATTACGAGGGCCCAACCCAATGTGGAGGACCCGTCTTCCTCCAGCACCTTCCCCAGTTCTCCTCCCCCTACCGCCGTTCTGCTCCCCCACCGTCCGCGCCATCTCCACCGCTATCCTACCCCATCTCCAGCGCCCCCTTCTTCCAGCTGGTGCCTTGGTGCTTGGATTCTCCTCCTTCCGCTAAGCTCCCTCCATTTCATACCTTGGTACCTGCACCGCACCGTGCGCAGCAGCTCGCCGCCTCCGGCGACTTCGCCGAAGTGGACACGCCGCCGCCGCTGCAGCTGCAGCTGCTCCATGGAGGTCGCCCATGCGGCCGCTTCTCGCCCTCTCCATCATCATATGTATTCATATGTAAGCATCCTGAGATTGAGGCATTGGGTTCTTTCAGTTCTTCAGACGAAACCACCTCCCCACCAAAAACCCAAGCAATCCGTGTACAGGTGCTCATTTCCTGTTTTTTTTACTTGATTCCCTGTCTGTAATTTATCTCCAGCAGTCAGAATTTCTTACTTTGTGATGCCGTGGGTTGCACTTAGGCGAACAGCAGCTGAAATTGGGGATGAAGTTCAGTTACTGTTACTTAGCTCAGTTAGCTTATCTTCCACTAAGTGGGAGAGGTTGCCATCCGGGTATGGTGGGTGATGAGCAGGATGGCACCCACAAAAAGATTATGGTGGTTGATGGGCTTGATTTATTTGCAGACAGAAGGTATTGGCCGACTTGCTGAGGTCTTCGTGTCCGAGGTCAAGGTCATGGTCATCTCCTTAACATCGCATCAAATACACCAGTGCCCCATTCAGATCCAAATCCACAGGACCATTTACTAGGTCATGGACTCATGGTCATGCATGCCCATCTCCTTTCACATGACCATTTCCTAGGAAGTTCCAAACGAATCCTCTTCCAGTCTTCCTTGGGTCAACTATAAGTTTTTGTAACCATACCCTAGATATATTTGCAGTAGGAAGGCAGTCATGAAAGTGTTACTAGCTATAAGAGAGGGCGCTGCTGCCTGACCTGAATTTCTCTAGTGCAAGGTGTAGTGTAGAACTGTCGATCCACCATGGGCATTTTGCCGATGATGTTATCTCTGCTGGTACTCGGGTCACTAGGAAAGCTAACAGCTCTGGCATCCGGAGTTTTGACAAGCCAGCAGAGCCCTGAAGGGACCTGGGCGCGACCATCTCGTGCCGGTTTCACGCTCGATGGCTGCCCGACGAGCTGCGGCAGTGTGAGCTTCAGCTATCCCTTTGGCATCGGATCCAGGTGCTCCCGTGGGCCTGACTTCAACCTCACTTGCAACGATGCCACTCATCCCCCCATACTTTTTTTGTGTGACGGCATCACCGAAGTGGTCAACTTTGGCGGTGATTCTCATTTTGATTTAAACTCGATCTGGGCCTCCTTCTCGCATACCATCCCCTTGAAATCTGGTGTTAGTGCTTACAACTTGTCTTTCAAACCACCTGGGAGGTCCTTCCATCTTTATCCCTTTGTTCTAAACATCATTGGCTGCGACCTGGCGGTGTACTCTGTCAAAGAGAATGCCATCCAGCCGATCTGCGCAACTGTGTGCCCAGATCCAAAAATTTCAGAGACGGTGGCTATGCACAACTGTAATGGTTTTGGCTGTTGTCGTGTAGACGTGCACAACTATTCTGACATTTATCAGTTCAAATTTGTCTATGACCATGACACAAAAAACACCAGAGCACACTCTAACTGGACCTCTGAATTGTGGGATAAAATCAGCATAAATACTGACTACTTGAAGCTCTCATGGGATATAGGGGATCAACCCAATACCGCCTGTGTTGCCTGTCTCGGCGACCATGTCGAGTGCGAGGGCCACATGCACGATACACTAGATATGACATCAAGATATCGCTACAACTGTGTGTGCCACGGCGGCTACACAGGCAACCCTTACATTCCACATGGCTGCTCCAGTAACGGCAAAGGTAACTTCTTTTTACCTAATCAAGCGGCCAAACATACAGCTGCTGTTAGGCATTTTTGGGCATTTGTACATGCTAACCTTATACTGATCAATTTAGGGTATAATCCAACTCCGAGCAGGGCTGACTGTACCCGTTTGTGTGGTAACATTAGTGTGCAATTCCCATTCGGCTTCGAAGCGGGTTGCTTTGCTAGGGAAGAGTTTCACCTCAACTGCACAAATATGACGTCATCAGATGCCCTGGTCATGCTGGAGGATAAGCAAGTCATCGATATGAATGTTGATGAAGGGACCATTAATGTCACCATTTCCGAGCAACAACATTGGACCTCCATATCTGAACCCGAACGTAACCCTCTCTTTTTGCCATATGGTTTTTTTCTCTCCATCAAATGGGTTGCTGCTCATCTAAGTTGCACAGAAGCCCAACGGAATAGATCTGGATATGCTTGTGTGAGTACCAACAGCAAGTGTGTGGAAGTAACTGCTGAAAGAATCTATGCTGGTTACCGCTGCAAATGCTCAGATGGCTTCCAAGGAAATCCATATATCCAAAGTGGTTGTCGAGGTACTCCCTCCCTCCCTCTAGGGTTACAACTTACAAATGATACAGCCCCTGCCGCTTGAAAAAATGTACTATTAGCTATTTCTTAACTCTCTACAAGAAAGTTGTAGGAGTACATTTGTATTTAAATGCACGTGTTACTAAAATAATTGCATGTTACTATTAGCCAGTAATTTTTCTACTATTTCTAGTTTTTTTTCCATGTAGACCTCATTTAGTTGGCTGATGTACTGTTTCATGCTAATTCAATGGTGTGCTGTGTTCCATGTTACACCCTCTGATTCATAATATAATCTTCTTCTTTTTTGCGCAGAGATTCATAATATAATCAGCTTTAGAATTTTTGCCATTTAAACATTTTAGATTTGACCATCAGTATAGAAAAAACTACCAACATGGGAAGTGTCAATTGATACGACTAGATTAGCCATGAAATAGTTTATTATAATATATAGTTATTTTTGTTTGAAGCAATTTTATTTTTCTAAAATGTGTTAGTCAAACATTGCTATGAAGATGGTGCCCATGTCCTGAACTACTATGGTGAATCAGAGGGAGTATATATTTTGTCAACGCATCTTATCAAGATTTTGTTAGTTTCAGATATTGATGAATGCCTTCAAGCGAACAGTTGTAAAGGGATCTGCCATAATACCAATGGAAGCTTCCGTTGTACTGAATGTCCTCTCGAGACTGAGTATGATCCATTAAAAATGCAGTGTGCTAAGATAAAACAACAACCTCTACTCTTAGGTAAGACTATATTTATTGTTACATTTATGATAGACAGGATAGAACAGAAACTTAAAAGAGATTAATGCCTGCAGGTATGATTATTGGGCTGTCCTGTGGTTTCGGCATTCTTCTTCTGAGCTTCACTGTAGTGTTTCTCACTCGCAGATGGAAAATAAATGTTCAAAAGCAACTACGGAAGAACTATTTCCGGAAGAACCAAGGTCTTCTCCTAGAAATGTTGATATCATCTGATGAAACTGCAAATGAGAATACGAAGATTTTCTCGTTAGAAGAGCTAGAGAAGGCAACAAACAACTTTGATCCTACACGTATCATAGGTCGTGGGGGCCATGGCATGATTTACAAAGGCATATTATCTGATCAGCGAGTTGTTGCAATAAAAATGTCTAAGGTCATTGAGGAGTGTGAGATCAGTCAATTCATCAATGAGGTCGCAGTTCTCTCTCAGATAAATCATAGAAATATTATAAAGCTCTTCGGATGTTGTCTCGAAACTGAGGTTCCGCTGCTAGTGTACGACTATGTATCCAGTGGCTCACTGTCTCAAGTTCTTCATGCTGATTCAAGTGATGGTTTTTCTCTGTCTTGGATTGATTGCGTAAGGATTGCCCTCGAAACAGCAGGAGCTCTATCTTATCTCCACTCTTCAGCTTCAATATCAATCTTCCATCGTGATGTGAAGTCCTCGAATATACTCTTGGATGTGAACTACACGGCTAAAGTTTCAGATTTTGGCGCATCTAGATTGGTTCCAACTGATCAAACACACATTGTCACGAATGTACAGGGTACATTTGGGTACTTAGATCCAGAGTATTTCCATACCAGACAGTTAAATGAGAAGAGCGACGTGTACAGTTTCGGTGTGGTACTGGTGGAGTTGCTTCTCAGAATGAAGCCTGTTTTTACAAGTGAATCGGGCACGGTCAAGAGCCTGTCAAACTATTTTCTCCAGGAATTCAAAGATGGAAATATCACAAGTATTGTTGACTCTCAGGTCCTTGAGGAGGCAACCGAAGAAGAGATCAACAGTGTGGCCTGTCTTGCAGAGGTGTGCTTAAGGCTACACGGTGAAGAAAGACCCACAATGAAACAAGTGGAGACAGAACTGCAGACTCTGCGAACAAAACGGGTGAACTCAGGTCAAGCAGATCCGAGAAATGAAGAACGAATGCTACCAGAGTCACAAACTCAAATAAGAGCTACAGCTGCTCGCCAATCGTCCAGGACGGAACTTGGCAAGAGAGAAAGCCGACGATGCTATAGCTTAGAGTGCGAGTTCATGGCGTCTGCTAGTCTACCACGCTAGATCCGTCTGTTAAGTTCATAATAATGGATGCTGATTATGCTCGTTTTGTAAACTGATGCATCATGCATGTGCTTTGGATTGGAACTATTCTTGTTTATGTAGACTGATTATTATTACCTTGAGATGTGGAGCGAATGACTTGGCATATGCATTGTATTGAATAAATGTTGATAAGGCATATAATGGATTGTATTAGCAATGATTTTGAGCACTCCATTGCTATGGTATGTTGTTTTATCACTATCCTACATGTGAGCACACTCACCAGCCCCACATGCACTGGGTTCCTGGATTTTGTAATAGTGTAACTTAAAGTTTATTACATAGCCTGTTTTCATTGGTCACTTTAGTAAGGCTTATCTTAATGGTTTGTAGATTACCGTGCTTTCATTTGTACAGTACCGTGATTTCTTGGTGCTCCTTTCTATACCCAGGGTAAAATCGTGAGTTACTTTTCGACCATTTCAATCTTGGGCGTCCGAACATGACCTTCTAAGGATCATCTCGCCATCATGTTGGTTTTCGATTATTTTGTAAGTATTATTTCTTTTTCTTTTTTTACGAAAATTCAAAATTATAGAGTTGATTTAGTAAATTTTAAATCTATGCCACTGTCGTCCTCTACTGGGCGAAGAGTGACTCTTCGTCTTTGCATGTGCTGAAGAGGCCCTTTTCATCCTTGTTTGGGTTGAGGATCACTCTTCGTTCCCAGGAGGCCGAGGGGTGGGTCTTCCTCCTTCCTATGAAGTCTGAAGAGTGAGTCTTTGTGTTGTTTAACGCAAAAAGAGTGGACATCCACCCCGTCCTATACACCACAGCTCCTCCCGGTCAAACCTTCACGTCGCCAGGATCACATTGCCAAGTAAAATCCATGCAGATGAAGAACAACTAGAACCGTGCAATGTGGAGGACGAATTTCACCTTTCAATCTACACTAACCACCGCATTAGCGTGAGTTATAAAAATATAACAATATTAAAAAAACTTGGTTTTCCTCGCATTAGCGTGAATTATAAAAGAAGGCTGATATGTCTTGCCTTTGGCCCTTATCCCCCCAATTGATGCCACCCGCATGATAGTTCTCCTCACACTATCAAATTATTAAAGCAAAAAAAGAATAAGAAAGGAGCGAGACAAATCTCAAACCATGATACCACCGTCACACACCAATGGAATTACACACAACTACCATTAGGGTTTATAAGTCATCATAGGCCAATTTCCCCATCCATGTGCGCCTGTTGTGATCATGGAGAGTTTTCGGGGATTCGAACTTCTAGGAGTCCCTTCCCAGTAATGCATGTGTTCTTGGCTTGGGACTTCACCTTTTCCTTGTTTGGTGTCGGATTTGATCTTACAATCTTGGTTTACACATTTTAGTTAAGTTTACAGCAACACATTAGAACGAATTGTGGGACCTCCTATCCCGCGCCTAACACATGGACTAGACGAGAAAACACGCACCTGAGCACTTTCACGACGTTGTTGGGCTTCAATCGTTGGCCACTGTTACACAATGTTTTCACAGCCTACTTCTACTCTTCTATTTGTTTTAGTTGTTTGACTGTTTCTTTCATTGTCCATCTATTTCTATCCTAGACTTCCGTTTGCATGGTATTTCAATAATTTTGTTTCTTGTAACTGCACATGGAACAACACATTTGAATGTATTGAACGATTGAGAAAGAAGGAGCCAGACAAACTTTTAATTTTTTTATGTAGGAAATCAGTAGGTTAAAAATCTGAGGTCAAGTTGAGTACTGTAGAATTGGGAAAATGTTCATAAATTTAATGAAAATGCTCATGAGCTAGAAAAATGTTTGTCAATCTGAAATGTTCACACATTTTAAAAGTGTTTCTGGATTAAAAATATTCACCAATTCAAAAAAGTTCATGAATTTGAAAAAATGTCACAAATTTAATAAAATGTTCGTGGATTTGAAAAATGCTATGAATTCAATATATGTTTCCGAATTTCAAGACAATGTTCACGAATTTGAAAAAAAATCTCATGAATTGGGAAAAATTCCGTGAATTTATAAACTTGTTCACGAATAGGAAAGATGACCGTGAATTAGAAAAATGATTGAGAATTTAAAAAATGTTCACTAATTTGAAAGATATCCAAGAATTGAGAGAATAATCCTAATAGAAAAATATTTGCAAATTAAAAAAATTAGAAATTAAAAAACGCATGTGATTTTGAAATTGCGCATGCATTTAAAAATTAATCTCGATTTTTGAAAAATTTCGCGAATTTTAAGATGTTCTTGAATTAAAAAACATGTACACTAATTTGAATTTTTTTTGCATTTAAAAGTTATTTGAGTATTTATTTTTTTGTGAATTTGGAGCATGTTTGCGAATGTGAAAGATGTTCACAAATTTGAAATATATTCGCAGAAGTAGAAAAACGTTCGACCATGGACTATATGTAGGTTTTTTTTTAGACAAATGGACTGTTTGTAGTAGTATTTGGGCTGAGAGATGAGGGCCTAGCCCAAATGCGGGTTATGGGCACGACGGCGGGCGATGGCCTTCCATGGCCTCTCCGGGAGCTCCTAACTGGCGCGTTACGCGCCGCCGAAGAAACCGGCGCTCACGCGCTCCCTGGCGTGGGCCAGCCCATTTATTTATTTCCTGTTTTCCAAAACGAAAAAAAAAAAGCGGATCTGGTTGCACTCAAACAGGCGACCTCAGGTTTGAATTAGCACGCACAAACCAACCGGCCACCAGTTCTCACACGAAAATTCTAACATCGTTTACTTCTTTACTTCTTTTCACTTTTCTTTTTTCTTTTTTCGTTTTTCTTCTTCCTGGTTCGACGGTTTTATTTTAATTCTTGATTTTTTTCACAATTGATGAACTATTTCTCAATTTGGTAAATTTATATTCACCGTGTATTACATAAAATTTCAATGTATTAAGAAAAATGTTCATTGTATATTATGAAAATTGTTCACCTTTGCATATAAAAATGTTCATCATGTATTATAAAAATGTTCATCGTGTATTATAAAAATGTTCATCGTATATTATGAAAATTTTCAATGTTTTTACTAAATGTTGAATGCGTAAATTGTTCAGCACATATATTCATGTTGTTTCAAAAATGTTCATCGTGTATTATTTAAAATGTTCAATGGATATAAAAAATGTTCAGGATATTTTTTTTCTATTTTGGTTTTGGTTCAATGAGTATACAATTGTTCACTATGTTTCTTGATTTTGTTCAGTATATATTACACAATGTTCAATGTGTATTCGCAAATTGTTCAACGTATTTTCACAAATGTTCAGTACGTGTCCAAAAATTCTTCAGCGCATATATTCCTATTTTAAAAAAAAAAGTGTTCATCATATATTAAAATAAGTTCATCTGTATTATTTAAAATATTCAGCTTATTTTAAGAAAATGTCAACGGATATCGCAAAATGTTCAACGGATATTACAGAAAACAAGTTCACGCATTTTTTGAGAAAAGGTACAGAGAAAAAAGAAAAAAAAGAAAAGACGAATACAGAAGAAAAGAAGAAAGAGGAAAGGAGACAATAGAAAAAAACGATGGAACCAGTCACACTAGATGAGGGTGGCTGGTTGGTTGCTGCATTCACG